AAACAATAAGCATATGTTATGCAATTCTGAAAGTTTTTACATTTTGATGGACTATTGAAGCGACTCTAAACTCTGCATGAAAATATGTTTTCAGAAGGAGATATACTTCATTAATCCCGCGAGGGGAAATTCAATTATTACACTCTGTTATTGGGGCATACTACACACACACAGGCTGAAATACACACATGCACCAACAGGATCCTATGGGCATGCTCAAGGGTACCTCGGCAGTGCTCAGGAAGTGAACCGGCACCTCTCCAGCTACCAGACAAATTTCCAGACTTGAGAAAACCAATGAGAGCTTGTATACCCTTGTGTTTCTTAGTGAGACAGATATGTCAAATATAATATCTTCAGCATAAAAAATAGCTTTGATTTTGTGAAGTGCACTCATGTTTGTTAGTGGACGCAGATAAAATGAAAACAAAGAGGTCCAAGAATACTTCCCTGAGGTATCCCATTTTATAACACGAGTCTGTGGAAAATAAACAGCACTACTGAGTGAGAAAAAAATGTCTTAATGATAAATATGAGCAAAAACACGGTCACACGTTGGCCTTTTTATTACACTTTCTGGTAAAGGAAGAAGGTGCAACTTTTTAATCCAGTAGATGTCATCCTTGAGCACCAGCATGAAACCAAAACAAACTGCTGTTTGGCCACACCTCCTCCATACTAAAGCCTCCGCTCTCCTCCAGAGACACACTTCCAAGCACTCTCCATAAATGAGTCAAGCGCAAGCGGTGGACAAAATAGTCCTTGGCTAAAGTATAATACAGTATAATCACCTGTGTCCTGCATTGTTGTGTTAGCATGCTAATGTTAGCGCTCTTTAGTTAGCTTGTAGCTTCATTGGAATGAGCGTGATCTAAAAACTCTTACTAACATCCAAATAATCAGTGAGTATGTTCTTCTTCTTCTCTCTAGTTCTTGACTAAAACAGCTTTTATACACAAGGGGAGGAGCCGGCCGTCCCGTCCATGTAAACACGACTCTGACAACAACACAGCCAGCGGGACTCGAGCTTCTCCCTCATTGTAGACAGTCAGGACTCAGAGACACATTTACACAGGAGACACTGGATTTATGATATATTTATGTGGAAAATATTGCACCTTTCCTTGAATATGTTACATCTGCTTTGCATATACTTTGAATTTCCCTCGGGATCAATAAAGTATCTATCTATCTATCTATCTACCTTCATTGTACTTTTCCGTTGAACAACGATCTGACCAACTGAATACACAAAGTAGCTGTACCATGCTAATCTGCTCTTTGTCTGTTTCGCTTCAAAAGTCACTCTCCAGAACATAAACCTCTCCTTCTAAATGTAAAACAGAGAGCACAGAGAGAGAGCGGCTCGCCGGCTCTGGACACAGTGGAGGACATCAAAGGCGTAGCAGAGGATCCCCCTTCAGAATAGAGGCTACATGCCATTCCAATAAGTGCAGTGTATTTGGATCTGCAGTTCAAAAGAGGCTGGTGCAGGCAGGCAGGCAGGTCTCTGGGGGCTTCACCAGCAGTAGTCTGCTCGCACAGATGTTTTGAATGCCAGCAGAGACCATTTGCCACTTCTGCTGAAACCTGGGGCAGTTAGACGAGAGTGAAGGGAAGTTTGACAAGTCACATGTTTCCCATCTGGACTCACAGTCAGTTCTTATACATTCATCTCACTATGTTTCATTTGCAGGTTTGGATCTGAAAACTGTAGAAAACTAGATGCACAAAAACTGCAGTTCCTCAAATGGCCACTTGAGGCTGGTTAAAAAGTGAGGCAATCCTCATTTGGTTCCATGCTAAAATGTTCAACTTTACAGCAGAAATAAACACTTTTACTTCCTGGTAATTGAAAGGTTTGGCCTCTTCTTTTCATCATTACTTTATTCATGACAAATTGGGGGTGTGGTCTCTTTAGTCATTTACAGATATCTATTTCACAGCAGCGTTGTAATGAAGTTCTGCCGTCATGACGCCATTTTCCTTTTTGCAACTGCAACAGAAGAATATCGGTGTCCCAGTGTGGTTTAACATGGCTTTACGGTGTTGTGTAAATAAATAGCAGGAGCTTCACATACACACACACTCAGCATGCACACACACATGCTCTGTACCGCCATGGCGGCTCCAAAACTCAACATCACCACAGTGTCCCCCTCATTACGCCTGAGTTACTACCTCCGATAGTGGATCAGGGGCGCCTGTCGGTGTAACCGAGTATTAAAAAACTAACTTAAAGGAGCAGTATGTAACTCTGACACCTAGTGTTTAAAATGGGTACTGCAGTCCAGATTCTAAACATTATAGAGAGCTGTCTCTCCCCCCCCCCTCCTCTCTAGAGTGGATGCTCTCAGGTCACCATGTGGTGGACTCTGAAGCTTCAGTGTTTATCCAGCTCTGCATGGGTCTGTAAACCTTTCTGTGTTCTAACCTCTCTCCATTTTTCAAAAGCATCTCCAATATTGATCCTAGTTTGAGCACGTTTCTGCTCGTGGAGCTTATTAGAAACATGCAGAGGCTTTTTAGGTCGGGTACAATCACTTCTATCTGAACCACTTCTCTTGCCCGCTTCCATCACTGCAACACCTGTTGACCTGATAACTGCTCTCATATCTGACAAACCGAGGGACGCCTTAAAAGCACCTACCTTCTCTGGTCCAAACAAATCCAGAGCATTCAGGAGCAGAATCTAAAGTTAGAAGGAGGACATACTGGCTGCTGCACGTTTCCTTAATGTCTGATCATATAGTAAGCTCACTTTATCATTTCACTGATTGGACCTTTAAACACATCAAAATGTCTCCGTGCATATTCACAGCTGAGTTTTGTTCATTCATCCTGTTCCTGTGAGTTATGAGAATGAATTCATGCTTTTGAGTTTCTCCTTCCACACATCTGTCTTCTTTATAAAATTTAACAACGTTCACATTTAGACTAAAGGTGAAAGTAAACACAAATTAATAACAGACATCCCGAGGAACGCTGTGCACCCCCAACTCAACATTTGAGGCCACCTTTCCCCGTCTCCGTCTCCTCTACATCTTTATGGAGCAATACTTTGGTATGACATCACAGATTTGAGGATTAACCAAACTGTTTTCTATTGTTTCTGGCTATAGGAGCCAGATGTTACAGAACAAAGTCATCCAGTATATACAGCATATATTTCAAGGCTTCTCTCCTTTAGGGGGAAAGCAGTTTTTTTCTTCCGTCTGGTGCTATGAGTGCAGCTCCTTGTGCATGTTTCTCCAGAGGATTGCTTATTCTGATTCAAATCCAACTTGTAAAATGTTATCACTATTGTTTATGGGGAGGAAAACACACAAACATGCTAAGGTCCCGAGGGCGAACAAGTGTAGACTAGACCCGATCTGACACATTGTGCAAACACATTTATCATCCATGTAGAATCCTTCCTGTGTTCATCAAATGATTACCCCATACCACGAGAATTCACAGTTCAGCGCTAATTGCTAGGTTAGGTTTCTGTTGGCTCAGGTGCTGCATACTCGGCGTGCTTACCTTCACAACTGTTGCGCAGTGTGTGTGTGTGTGAAAAGGAACAGCAGGTCTTTAAAACATCAACAATTAAGCTGTTAAGACGCGGTGAATTCGAACAGTCTCACCACAAAACAAGCCGTAACACCTTTGTCGCTCTTCGCAGGGGTTGTTCAGATGTGGCTGCCTGTCAGAGCGCTGAATGCTGAATGATGAATGAGCTACAGCGAGGTCATGATTTACTGCTGCGTCATACCGAGGGCATTACAATGAAATGTAACAATCTAAACGTTGAGGGTGGAAACAGATCTGATTGTTTCCTCAGGTCCAAGTCTGCCAACACTTTTCATAACTTCTGTTCAGAGGAGGAATCATTCAGTCTCCGCAGGATCCTCCAGGCAGTGTTTATTTTCACACTCTTTTAACTGATAGCATGTTTACTCCTTTAGCAAGTACATCAACTATTCTAACATTTCAGATCTGCTCATTCTAAGCTTTACATGAATATATTAAAATATCAGAAAATCATGCTTGAGCACGATTGCGTTCACATCTCCCGCGGACCGTACTCAAGTAACACATGAAGTACACACACGTTTGATCAAATGAACCGGACCCAGAGAGAGCTCTTCAGTGTTCATAAGTTCTGGGGGGGGAGCCACTTCATCAAGATGGAGGTTCCAAGATGGCGTCCATGTGAAATCGCTTGTATACCCTTGTGTTTCTGAGACAGATATGTAAAATATAATATATTCAGCATAAAAAATAGCTTTGATTTTGTTAGTGGTAGCAGATAAAATGAAAACAAAAGTGGTCCAAGAATACCTCCCTGAGGTATCCCATTTGAAAACACGAGTCTCTGGAGAATAAGCAGCTGAGTGAGAAAAAAATGTCTTAATGATAAATAATTTCAATTTTAGGGGGGGTGGGGGGGAGCCACTTCATCAAGATGGCAGTTCCAAGATGGCGTCCACGTGAAATCGCTAAGTGCCAATATGTCTTCCAAGCCACTTAGAAAGTCAATCTTGGTATCAATATAAACATTTTCTGGGTCAAGGAATGCATTAAAATACCACTAGATGATTATTTGTGCCAAGATCAAACACGTGTTCATTTTGGTAATGTATTACATCATTTTCCTTGGTTCCAAGGCGGTTGGACATATTGCCACTTAGCCATTTCACATGGCTGCCATCTTGGAACCGCCATATTGATTAAGCGGCTCCCCCCCCAAATAATTGAAAGCTATGGTGTCAACTAAGAACAAATCCCACATAATAAAACATTGGAGAATCCCAGAATCATTGTGAAATGTCCGTTTGCAGGATTCAAATTTTTTCTGAAAAACGGTTGGTAAAGGAGGACGAGGACTAACCCTCACAGGCGGTAAGTTTTCAGTTCAGCTGAGACGTTTACGAATAATCAGGACTTTTAGAAATCCTGTTTTTTTACATATCTAATCCACCTTCCTGTTAGAAAACACATTCATGATGCTTTCATTCCAGTTTCTTTGTTTTATTAAAAAAACAAACAACAATAAAAATCCTCACACCCTTTCTCACCGCACCAGAGGGGACCATTTCTAACCACGACGGCCATTTTGCATAAAAAATAAGAACTTCTTCATGAAGGCAAATCAAAGGAGACTCCTTACAAACAACTCTTAAAAGACGTGCACAACTTTTTCAGAACGTGTCGTCAGGTTTTAAAACTTTCACTCAAATTAAATAAAGCGTCAACAAAAAAAAAAAAAGGTTCCAGTGTGTCAACATAGATACGAGTTAAAAAGAATAACGAGTCGGCTCTTTGGACTGAAATGTTCCACAAGTCATGATGCGAGCACAGAGGATCTAAACTCTTAAAATGTGACAGCATGTGATTTATTTTCTATATAAAAACGCGTCATATAAAATATATCAGATAATTTAATCGACTTTAAGACCTAGGAAGCGATTCTTGTGCAACAATTTCATGTTTGAGTTCACAAATATTCAGCAGTATAGTCCCTGCATGTTCAGAGGAGAATCACAGTGTTTCATAAAAATCAGCAGCCAATCATGTGGCTCCTCCTCCTCCGCTGTGACAAACACACGCTGTTCCTCTCCGTCGTGCGTGGGCGAGGACGCTCAGACTCTCGGGTTTGACATTGTGAATCAAAGAGGTCAAAGGTCGGTTACATCAGCTGCTCGGCTCAGACTTCTTCTCATTCTGGAGTTCGGCCCAGGACGGGTATCTCCGCCGTGAGAACTTCAGGCAGAAAGCGTCCCCGACCTCGTTGAGATGGTGCAGCACCTGAGGGCGGAGGAGACGTCTCAGAACACGTCGATACCCGTGAAGCTTTAGTGTGTGTGTGTGAGTGTGTGTGTGTGTGTGTGTGTGTACCTGGTCCAGCATGGCTTTAGTGTGGCCTGCAGACAGACAGAAGCGAGCTCGGGCCTCTGTGATCGGAGTGGCAGGAAAGCCGACCACGACGACGCCAATTTTTCTCGCCAGCATCTCGCGAGAGAAAGCCCTGCACAGAAACACAAACAGGCCTTTAAATAAAACGGGACATTCCATTTCCATTCAGTGACCCCGCCACACCGTCCGCCTCAGAATGAGGAAGCGTTCTCCACTAAAACCTCGTTATTTTAAAAAAGCCAGGAGGAATTCTGCTCCTTCAAACCCTCAAAAGTCCTCACGATGTTTCTGCGATGTGTGGTACGAATGATTTGTGATCATGTCTGCAGAGCGCCGTAAATTAAGACGAGCACGTTACTGAGGATGTAGGAGAAACTGGAAGCAGCATGTGTCTGATGACTTTTGATTTAGAGGTGAAGAAGCTCCGGTGGACAGTTTGGAGGAATCAAAAATCTTAAATATGCTCCAAATGTTACTTTAATTTGATGCAGCCGTTTAGCATATTTCAGAGGTCATTGGTACGAGTGAAGGACCTCACTGTTATAGAACGATAGAAGGATAATTAAATGATCCAAGGGGAAATTCTAAGCCTCCAGTAGCAGCTTACAAAAATGCACATGACCTGAAATATTTGTTACATCTGTCCCACCTCCCGTACAATTTATACCAATTGTACCAAGACGAGAAAACATCCGGTAACAAAAGAGAAAGGAAGAGAAGGGAATTTATTAATTGTAAAGATAAACATTAAAGTGTCCAACTGGAGGCTGCTATGCAGCTGAAAAGTGGAAACAACCTCCAAGGGTCAAAAAAAGGACAAGACCACAGACTGTAAATATGAAGGTTTGAAGCCTGAGTGGCGTCCTCCGTCTGTCCCTGCAGGGGGCGCTGGAGTCCCATCGATGGCGGTCTCCATGCTGGAAATGCTGTCTCAGTCTAACTTTCAGTCAACATAACGACAGGCTGAGAGCTGGAGCTGAGGCGGGTTTTAAACCTCCTGACAAACCGTTACACCGCGCCCACCTGTCAATCAGGTCAGCTACACGCCTTATTGTGAATAACTCTTATCCTTCATCAAATCAAAACTGATGAGTCATCAAAACATTCACCCCCCGTACAGTGTGTGTCCATCCAGACATGAGCTAATCACACCTATTTGGTTTTTTGAACCAGGCTGTAAACATGTTCATCTCTGCTGTAAAAACAGGCTTTTTAGAATGGGTGTGTATGTGACTTCCTGTTCTTCTGCAGCCAGTCTCTAGTGGACACTTCAGGAACTGCAGGATTTTACACTTCAGCATCGGCTTCACTTTTCAAGACCGGAGGTTGCCGCTTGGACAAGACGAGTTAAATTCTACTTTTTCTTAAACCACCATTAACGTCAATGAAAACGGAGTAATGACAAATCAGAAGCTACTTTGGGAAATATATGAGAGCCCCTTCTGATTTATGCATTTGCTGCTCCTGCTGGACCTGATCAAAACCTGATGTTTTTTTCTTATGTGGTCTCAGTCCAAACTGACACAGCCTGCACAGAACCAGGGAGAGTATAGCTGCAGAATAAATATCCTGACAATCTTTCTTCCTGTCACAGTGAAAGGCTTTTTTCTTGACGTGTACTCACACAACTTTTCCGGGCATGTAGAGCAGGATGGGAACCACAGGGGAGTCGTCATTGCCGTAGATGATGAAGCCCATCTCCTTCAGTCTGGCCCTGAAGTATCGGGTGTTCTCGGCCAGTTGGCGGACCCGCCTGATGCCTGCGATTAAGACGGAGGAACATGAGTGAAGCACAGACACACTTCTTTTCCCTCAATATTTCAAACATCCCCTGCAGCGAGGGAAGCATATGTTGCTTTCACACATGCTCAAAACTCCTGAAAATTTACCAGAATGTTTCAGGATGAGCTGCATGAGTGAACCGATCTTTTCAGCACGACTTCACCTAGACCAGCCCCCCAGGAAAAATGTCTGTGAGGAGTCAGGGTGAGTAGATGTGAAGCAAGAGGTCGATTATGATGACATATGAGGCGACCGGTTGTACCATTCATTTGTTGACAATTTCAATATGTCAAATCACCTGTAGCACCTGATATAAAAGCCAACACAGTCGTCATAGCTTTGAACTCTAAAGGTTTGTCTCTATATTAGTCATTGTCTTTCCTCCCGAGACCCCCCCTTTCTGTCCGACATGGAAAGTCTCCTGCAGTGAGGTGCAAATCAGGAAGATTTCAGAGACAGTCTGCCTGAAGTCTTCTAGAAAATTCAGGAAGTCCTTCATGAAAAAGGCCTTACTTTACTGTGATAACTGTTTTTATGATTATCCAACAGTTGGAGGTTTTGCATACAACAGTAAAAATGTGCATCCTGTCAAGACGTTTTCAGGATTCAGGGAAAATCTCACGTGATTCCTTCAAATCTGGGATATGAAGGAGTTAGTAAAAATGCCAAGGAATGTCCAAATGGTTTTTCTAATTTTTTGTTTTAGTGATTTTTAAATTTTCTTTTTTTTCCTCTGTCATGATGCTTTTGATGTTGTGTGAAACACTTTGAATTGCCTTGTTGTTGAAATGTGCGACAGAAATAAACTTTCCTTACAGCTCTTAATAAAGAGTTCAGGTGTCTCTACTCTGCTGTGTTTGTTTTTCCCACACATTTGATCCTTAACTCCCTACATTTTCACACGAACAGCTGCACTTTCTACCTTTTGCAATGTCAAAACAATCTTTATCGTTTTTGATTTGCATTTCTGCACTTGGCCTCTGAAACATCACGGCCGATTTCAACCTCGATCGACAGAATAAAAACACACAGACGAGACAATTCCTGGCTGTTTGCTTCTGAGTATATCACACATGACAGACGTGTGAGGGATTTCTTCAAGAGGAAAAAGAAACGAGAAGGAAGCATGAAGGCGAGGCGTCCAGCAGATTCAGAGCAGAGAGACTGATTCACACGTTGCAGGACAGTTATTATTTTCACTCGGTTGTTCTGTGATTAGAAGTCAGATGTTTAAGTTTAATCATGAGCTGAGCTTCAGATATTTTCACACACAAACATCCGCTAGAAAATATACTTTCACTTTGAGACTGTGACAACATTTCAAAAATGAGTCTGCAACACTTTCCCTCCAGGAGTTGAATCAGATCCTCATCATTTTACCACGATCAGGTGTCTCTACTTACTCCCGAGCAATGACATGTTTATCTTTTGCCACCCCTGAAGCGTTCTCTTGCTGTGCATCTCATCCTGGAGTCCTGCGCCTCCATCTGGGCCGCCCCAGCCTCCACGATGAACACACTCATGATTACAGCTGCAGCAGCAGATGGTTCAAGTTTTGTGCGTCTGGCGGCGTCATATACACACACCGACATGTTGCCAAATGAGGGATTGCAAATTGTATACGATGGATTTTAAAACCACTAGAGCGAAGCCACGACGGAAAAAAGCATACAAATAATGCTTAAGCCTCTCGTGTATTTCAGGTTAGTGTATCAGAAACTCAATCACAGTCAGCATGTGCAGCCTGTCCTGCTAACCCCCCCATGTTTCTGAACGATGTGCATCACCGGGGGGGTCGGCTGCTCGGCGGCTGCAGCACAGCTCTGTTTCTCTCTGATTACCTGGGAACAGATTGGCAGTTCTTTCACGGGGATGTTAGAGTGTGTTTTTAAATCCCCTTATCTCAGCAGAGAGAGAGAGCGAGAAGGAAAAAACACAACTCTCAGGCAGCTGCCAAAAAAGCACAGAACCCATTTTGTAAATTGTTCCTCTCTGCTAAGATAGAGGGCACGGAGGTCAGGAAGCTGCTGCTAGGCGCACACATCATCAGAGGAGGTGAGAATGTGTGGAGCTTCCTGTCAGTCAGGTTTGTCTTATTTCAGAGGTGTTTGCTTTAAACGTGTGAAATTCAACATCAACAAGAAAGAGGAGGAGAGGAGGCGGCGGAGGAGGAGGATTTCAAGAAAGTGGATTTAAAACAAGTCTTAGAGCTTTGTGACAGACACTGGAGCTGTTGTTTTTTTTTTTTTTTTTTAAATCTGCACTGTTTGCTTGTTCCCTCGCTCGAGAAAGACACGTCAGGACTGATTTTTCCACAACAGCTACTTCACACAGCTACGTCAGATGCAAAGCATGTCTGGTTCAGAGCCAGAGGAGGAAGTTACTCACCTCTACATGAAGCTACAATATACCTCAACTATAAGACCCGGGGACTCAGTCCTTAAAGAAGGTGCTTCTTTTAAAGGGTCAGATTTTAGAAGAGGAAGTGGGACAGAGGCTGGGTGATCTTAGATCTTATGTCTGACCTGTAAATCTTAATAAAATATATAAAAAAAGACATGCTCATCCGTCAGTGGGTGCTGGATCCAAAAACAGGAACGAAAACAAGATCCTGCACACCAAGAAGATCCTGTTTGAAAGGATTTATTGATAAGTGACGTTTCGAGCAAACATGCACCAACACCAGTGTCCTGGCTGAAGCCAACATCTCCACCATCGCTGCTACAATCACCCAAAACCAGCTGAGATGGTCACATGAGCCGCCTGCTTCTAATCCCAGCCGCTCACACGACAACATGCACTAGGAGGCCAAAAGAAAAGGTTAAAGGAAGAACCTGAAATATAACAACAACCTCCAACGCCCTGCAGAAGACAAACGCAGACAGAGAAAAAGAGAGATCCATCCAAACTAAACCAAACTACCACCACAACCCACTTTATCTAAATCGCCAACAGGGTACCCCGTGCACAGCCTAAACACATTCTCAAGTGCGCACGGTTGCAGGAACATACCACAAAAAATAAATTAAAAAATGACTATTTTTTTATCACATTTATACAATGTGTTTGGCCTGCCGCTTCCTCAGGTTCGCCCAGCCCACCCCCTGCTCACACTGCACCAGAATATGTGGCTTAAGAACCCGTTTATTCGGCTACTTGATGAAGACCCACAAGGACCAAGACGGAGGACATTGATACTCAACCCCAAGTGACCGCCTGTCTTGGACTCTAAGTCCTGTAGATTTGGGTATAAACTGAATCACTACCTGCTATTTACTTCCTGAAACTTCCTCCACCACAACACGCTCTACCTCTACTCACACTCCTTCTATGACGACTACAACCAAACTACACCAGCTGATGGAGAATCGCTGCGACTGCTCTTGTATTTACTACTTCCCTGCACAAGTGTCTGATGTCATTAAGGCAGAAACTTTTCAGAGGGAACACACTTCCTCACAACACACACATGTGTGTTCATGGACTGCAGCCCCCCCCTCCTCTCTCTTTCTACCTCTGCAGACCCCCTTTAATCGTTTCCACATTTTCTGACTGGGCAGCTGTTTGTCTTCCCCTGCAGCTCTGGACTCACGCCTCATGCTAACATTGGTTCTGTCCTCTGGATCTGGTTTGCTTTTGTTTCCATTAAAAATTACACAAATGGTGTAAAAACGTTCATAACAGCCAGACATCATATTTTTCAGTCTGAAGAGCATCAGGGTTGACTGAGTGTGTGTGCACAATTAGACTGAGATTGAGGGTGACATTCAGTGGAAGGAGCCAGACACTCACCCTCTGTGCTGCCATCTTTTCCCATGATGCACTTCATGGCACGCATGATCTGCTCGGTGACGGGAGGCGACATGGCCGAGGCGTACACCGAACTGTGAGAATGACAGCGCAGGTAGTCGACCAGCTCCTGCAAAGTAGGACACAGGGACACACAGATGATCAGCAGGGATATAAAAGAACGCAGCAGAACACCTTTTCAGGTTAAAACAGATTCTGAGATGTTTGGTAGAAGAAGCATTGTTATGGCTTTATTGCTGGAGGGATTTCTGACCCTCTTCTTCTCCTGGGTAAGAGGCTCACATGTGCAGACGGAGAAGATGCATCTGGCTAGTTGGAGAAAGACCCTTCAGTCACTTTGACTATTCTGACATCATGTGTGAACGAGCTCCTGATATTCTCCCAGATCGACTCTGAGAATGAGCGCAGACTCAAGACCGCCCCGCTCTTTGCTCCTAAATGTCAGCAGGAGATTAATTCTGTGGTTTTTAAAGAGAGGAGCAGGATTTCAGGGAACTGATTCAAGTGTGTGTGTGTGTGTGTTTGTACGGTGTGTGTGTGTACGGTGTGTGTACGGTGTGTGTGTGTGTGTACGGTGTGTGTGTACGGTGTGTGTGTACGGTGTGTGTGTACGGTGTGTGTGTGTGTGTGTGTGTGTGTGTGTGTGTGTGTGTGTGTGTGTGTGTGTGTGTGTGTGTGTGTGTGTGTGTGTGTGTGTGTGTGGTACGGTGTGTGTGTGTGTGTGTGTGTGTGTGTGTGTGTGTGTGTGTGTGTGTGTGTGTGTGTGTGTGTGTGTGTGTGTGTGTGTGTGTGTGTGTGTGTGTGTGTGTGTGTGTGTGTGTGTGTGTGTGTGTGTGTGTGTGTGTCTGAGGTCAGGCCTGGAGCTGTGATGGGCTGCTGCTCAGTGGCTGAGCGGGCCAGCGGGTGCAGGGTGATGACACGTAGCCGGAGATGCTGTCTGGCCACCATTTCCACTCACCGCCATCTGTCCTCCCCACTGGGCGGCGGCTGCGGCTTCCTCACACACACACACACACACTCACACACACTTAGAGGGGAAGGGATTTTAAGGGGAAATGCTCAAACGTCGGATAAGAACCCTGAAACAACCTGACATCTGTTTTAGTTTAAGGCGGAGGGATTTTCACCGCTTTAGGGCCCCGGAGGATTTCAGAGCGACCAAGATAAACCAGTTAAGACAAACGTGTCCGAAATCCATCTCACATCTGCGGGCGAAGAGTGACGGCTCGGAGTGTTTTTCTCAGCCGCATGTTGGCTGCGATGCTGATGTGGAGATGCATGTCATGAACGACCACAGAGCAGGAGGAGAGCCAGAAGAGCACACACAGGCGGACGTATTTAATATAGTAATTTCAGCGCCTCAGAGCGAAGGGTTAATGAATCAAACCGCCTTCACGAGAGGTTACAGAGAATTAGAAAGGAGCCTGGAGCGTATTTATTCTGGTACTCTCATAAAATAGCTATAACATGACTGTTTTCCAGAACACATCTGCTGGGTCTTATGTAGGATTTGGGGGGATTTCACCACAACAACAAATACGTCGAATCTAAAGGCTTTCTCTCTCCCTCTCTCACTTTACTGCGGCCAGCTGTCAAACCAGGCGCAGTGTTCGTACTTCAAACATTATCATGCTTGTTAAAAGTCATCCTGTTAAAATCTGGAGCGCAGTTCCGACGCCCGCCACAAGAAGGGGCTGGCCCAGTGCCAGCTTTACCTTCTGATTATGGCAGAGCCGACACGAGGGCGACGGCAGGAAGAGTCCCTCTACGAGCGGCCTAATTCGAGCAGCATGGCCGTTTCCTCTGCTGCTTTCTAATCAACTGCCACAAGAGCGCCGTGGTTATGTACTAAAGTGTACTTTTTAATGGAGTAGAGAGGGATTAAAAAGGCCCCCGAGTCACAGCCGGGGGAACATTTGTGGGACACATGAGCGGGTTAGAAAGAGGTGATGGAGTGTGTACCGTTTAGTCCCCGTTCACCTAGAAACAGTTTTAATATAATGAGGACGATGTGTTATAAACGGCAGGTATTTATTTTGAATAAAGACGATCAATCCAAGGCTGGGATTATTATAATGAAGGCTTAAAGGTGGAGTCTGCAGCATGTTTCGTTGCAGTTTGTAAACACCACATTCAAACTGGACCCCTCCTCCCGGGCTCACACACAGAACAAAGGAGACAGCCATTGTTGTAGTCATCCATCTACTTGAATACGGCGCTGTGTGTGAGTGTAATGCACGTGTGTAAGGCTACCGTTTCAAAAAGGAACGGCTATTTAGTGATCTACGTTTTCAAACCTTTGCACTCTGGGACACATTTTCAAAACTATTGGTTTTCAGGCACTGGTTGTCGCCGTCGTGTAGACATGAAGCCGAAATGCAGCTAAGTTGTTGAAACAAAGAGCTGCTCTGCCTTCAAAATAAACGTGTGGAGGAAAAGTAAGTCTCACACCTACACAAAACTTTCAGCCTGAGCTGCATGTATGAACGCAAACTGACACATATTTTTCACTCCGACTTCAAACCGCCCTCAAAGTCTGCATGAAGCGACCATTGTGCATGAATGAAGCTGCCTCATACTTTTTCTGAAAACCAGTATGTTCTTTTACACTTGTTTGTTAAGACAATAAAAGTTAATACGACGGCAAAAAACGGTCATGATCGTGTCCAATTCTGTTGCTCTGGACGCCGAGCAGATGTAAAGGGGAGCCTGTCCTGAAATTTCTTGAAATGTTCAAGCTGTGTGAAAAAAAACTTTGGATACTTTCATAATAACAAAATCTGGATAATAATATTTAGAAAACTGATGATGAGGGAGAAAGAGAAAACAGAAAAAGGTTAAATCCAAAGATCAACGAGCACCTTTTTCCCTGCGATGTAGCCTCCAGCGGCCCCAAAGCTCTTGGTCAAGGTTCCCATCATCACGTCCACGTCGGCCGGGTTGACGTCAAACAGCTCGGTCACGCCCCTCCCTGACCGCCCCACCGCTCCGATGCTGTGGGCCTCATCCAGGTACAGGTAGGCTTTATACTTCTTCTTCAGAGCGACGATCTCTGGAAGTCGCACCACTGAGCCCTCCATGCTGATGACGCAGAAACACACAGTTATAAAAAAACACATATTTAATCAAGTGAACACAAAACTCTCAAACTGTGAAGAAGCAGAGAATCCGACCCTGACCTTGCTCTATCCTCTGCAGGGCTCATGCATCCTCCCACCTCTCTCTTATCTCATGCAAACCTTTCAAGGCTTCAAAAACACAGCACACATGTACGAGCTAACACTGAGAACGTCTGCAGCCTGAATGACAGGACGCAGAGGTAGACCAGGACCCGTGTTAGACCGGACTTCAAAGGGCCCATGATGTAACTTAAGCACGCTCCCTCTTTATCTGAAACCTTTTGATGTGATGGAGGAAGTATTAGTCCTCTCTGTGGTGTAACTAAAGTGGCTTTTCTTTAATGTCTGAGCCTGACCTTTGGTGATAGAGGCGGTCTGATGATGAGCGATGAGGTTGTCTCTTTTGCAGCATTTTTGTGGAACGAGTAAAAAAATTCAAACCAACTAATGGAAGGTTTTATTCCTAATTTTACCGGATTTCTTTTTAAGTCAAACAATAAAGTTGCTGAATTCTCATATAGACATAAAACCTCCATCAACAGACTGACTTTTAGACAATAGCCTACAACATCTTAAAGCTATGACTCATTTTGAGTTGTACTTTCGGTAGGATGGCGTGCCCTGGCAACCCGTAGGCTCATACACTGGTACACCTTTATATATGTGGCAGTTCTAAGTCTGCTCCCGATACTACCTCTGTGTTTTTATCATGCAGAGAAGCACCGCAGTATGTCCTCCTTCTAACTTTAGATTCTGCTCCTGAATGCTCTGGATTTGTTTGGACCAGAGAAGGTAGGCGCTTTTAAGACACCCCCCCACACAACCGTTTTGGACGCCCCTCGGTTTGTCAGATATGAGAGCAGTTATCAGGTCAACAGGTGTTGCAGCGATGGAAGCGGTCAAGAGAAGTGGTTCAGATAGAAGTGATTGTACCCGACCTAAAAAGCCTCTGCATGTTTCTAATAAGCTCCACGAGCAGAAACGTGCTCAAACTAGGATCAATATTGGAGATGCTTTTGAAAAATGGAGAGAGGTTAGAACACAGAAAGGTTTACAGACCCATGCAGAGCTGGATAAACACTGAAGCTTCAGAGTCCACCACATGGTGACCTGAGTGAGCATCCACTCTAGAGAGGAGGGGGGGGGAGACAGCTCTCTATGATGTTCAGAATTTAGACTGCAGTACCCATTTTAAACACTAGGGGTCAGAGCTACATACTGCTCCTTTAAATTGTGTGAAACCTGCAGGTCACACACACATCAGGGATCATGGTTGAGCACGTGTTCTTGCTCTGATGTGCAGATATGTCAGGCCGAGCGAGAGAAGAAATGTGTGTTATAAACAGTCTGCGTTGTAGCCGAGTCAATCTCTGTGTGAGCTAATGAGCAGATGGAGAGGGTCACTAAGACTCAGGGACAGACACACAATACCTTTCTCCTTTCTGCGGTAATCAAACGACACACACACACACACACACACACACACACACACACACACACACACACACACACACACACACACACACACACACACACACACACACACACACACACACACACACACACACACACACACACACACACACACACACACACACACACACACACACACACACACACACACACACACACACACACACACAGCCTATTATTCAAGGGCAGAGAGGGAAGCAATTGAGGAAGAGAGCATTAGAGGAACGGCTAAACACAGGCTGGAGGCTGCACTCAGGTTACAAATGAGGGTTTCTACCTGAGTCTTTCTCTGCATAACTCTGTGAAAGACCACCTGGAAGCACGTACTTACAGAGAGTGAGGCTAAAGAAGGATGTAACCAGAGATACGTGTGTGTAAAGGTAAATAAAAGCAGTGTGTGTGTGTGTGTGTGTGTGTGTGTGTGTGTGTATAAAGGGCTTACCTATAGATGCCTTCCACCATGATGAGGATCTTCTTCCAGGGTCTGTGGGTCCTAGGCTGACCTGAGACCACCGCTTCTCGTAGCATCTTCTCCAGACTGTGCATGTCTGACACACACACACACAAACACACACGCAGAACAGAAGGAGGAAGAGGAAAATAAGGAAGAAGAGAAAGTGGCAGAGGAGAAGGGGGAACAGGGGGACAGGAAAAAGGAAGAAGATGAGAAAGAGGAGATATGACAGAGGAGGAGAAGGAGAAAGAGAACAGAGATTTCATCTTTAGTTCAGTATTCAGAATAAACAGATTTAGTTTACATCGATGTTCATATTTACAGCGTTGACAAACAGTCTCAGTGTTCTGATCCTCTGAGTGAATCATCAGAAAAGTAGAAATGTTCAAAGAGTTTCAGATTGAGCCGAGCTTTGTCCAGTTGTTTGTGCAAAGATCCGTTCATTTGATGTTTTTGTACAAAGTTTAGAATCAAAAGTTTCATTTTTACAAGACATGAGAGATGTTTTTGTGTCAAATATTTTGGGCTCTGGTTTCAGGGATAGTGAAAAACTGCACTGACACTTTTGTGCACACGCCAGCAGATGGCAGTGTTGAGCTGTAGGAGGAAAATTCAAAGTCTGACTGCAGTCTGAACATTTCTGGAGCAGTGGTTAAACACCACGTCACAGCTGCTGATCATCTGTCAAAGATGATCTATATCGCTCCATCAGCACAGGAACCGGTTCTCTAAAGAGTCGGAAATCATCAGGTTCACAATGTCTCTAAAAAATCAACATAAAGGAGACCTAACAGGGAAAGAGCACACAGGGCTGCCCTCGGCCAAAGTGATGACCCCCCTACAGGCGGGGTCACAAGACACACAAAATGTACGGTGACCCCTGAGTCTGATTCAAACACAAGTCATCACATAACAAGCAAATTGAACAAAAGATGTTTACCTAAAATATGTCACTCCAACCTGAAACCATTATTAATTTTCCCCGAGACCAGCTTCTCACACACAGACGCCTGAATTACACACATGCACAAACAGGACCTGTGGACGTACATTCATGGAGAGATGTCAGAGTGGGCGGGGCTTCTACACAGGGAGAACTGCAAGGCAGTGCCCGGTGACCTGGCACCTCTCTAGAAACCAGCCTAACTTCCACACCATGGTCCTTATCGGGACTCCTTGTCAACAAATATATAATAAAATATGAGTAGCAGCTAGACAACTAGCTCAACAAGAGTCCCTGAAGTGTTTACAAACAGTAACACTCCTTGTCCCAGTAAACAGGAGCAGAGCGAGTGGAGTGTGCACTAATTGATCGATTGCGTCATCTCGCAGCATGTGCGCAAATATGAGGGACCCCCCCCCATATCTGTTGAGGGAGGGGCGGGCCCGTGTGCACAGTCAAGAACGAGGAAGACATTCACAGTTAAGGACTGATTTAAGATTAGCCACAGTCTGATATGAGATCCTGCATTACTCAGCTCTATCCGTGACATGTCATTATCTTTTCATTGGCCCTGAGGCTGCACAAATGCTACAAACTTTTTCAAAAAAAACGCAAACACTTGTAAGCAATTGAAAGAATTCCGGCCTTCAGAAGGAGTGTCCTTTATCTGCAGTTATTTGAAGTATTTCAACAAACAAGCCTGACAGCGACAGACCGGACAAACCAGTTCTGCTGCCTCTGAGTATGAAACTGCATCTCTGTCAAAGATACCACAGGGCAAATATCTCCAACAGCAAAAACAAAGGAGCTCAGAAAATTCAGAGTCAGGCTGCAACAATGAATATTTAACTGTGTTACTTAATGATTCTTTACTTATGAGCTGTTGTGGTTCACTTGATTTGTTTAAACACATTCATTACCTCTTTGTTCCCCGAGTGTTTTTAAAGGTTTTGCTCTGTGATCTTAGTGTGTGCTGCAGAGTTCCAATAAACTAGATTATTTTGTAAGTATGAGAGAGAATAGAAACAGTGGCTGCATGTTGGTGCAGTGGTTAGTGCTGTCCCATCACAGCGAGGAGGTTCCAGGTTTGAATCCCCGTCTGCATGTTCTCCCCGTGCATGTGTGGGTTCTATCCGTCTTCCTCCCACAGTCCAAAGACATGCTTGTTAGGTTAACTGCTGACTCTAAATTCAGTGAATGTGAGTGTGTCAGGTTGTCTGTCTCTATATCTCAGCCCTGTGATTGGCTGGTGACCAGTCCAGGGTGTAACCCCGACTCTTGACCAATGACAGCTGGTATCGGCTCCAGCCAACCATGACCCTAAACTGGAAAAGTGGAATAGATGAATAGATGCTTCTGCGTCATGTTAATTCATTGTCTGTTGTGGTTTCTGCTGTTTGTGCTTTCATGTAAACGTTGTCTCTACAGCGATACCTTGCATGTAAAATTGAGTATTCCTGTTCAAACAAAGGTTGAACATTGTTTAAAAAGAATCCCTCTTGGTATGTAGAAGTGGCCTTCACTAATAACAGAGAGCCAGAGTTTCTTGCTCGGGGTTTCTGGAGGTAGGGAGGGGTCAGCCGCTCAGGAGCCTGAGGGCTGTGTGCCTTCAGACGGGCTCCTGGGACGCGCTCGCTCGGAGGACCCATAACCGACTCGGCTTGTACCTGTCAGGACACATTTGCTGCCAGAACACCGGCTCCTTCTAACTGTCTCCTGAAAGAGCTGTGCAATGCGAGCATGATGAACGTTGTATCATGGAGGCTTCATACTCTCCCTTATCATCTATTCACAATATGTAATTTGACAATTTAATAGTGAACAGATGGTTTAAGTAAGAGGCCATTTTCATTTAAATAGACTTCCTCTTTTTGTGCTGCTCGGCTGCTGATGGATAAAACACAGTCGTGACTGTAAACTGAACCCATTTCATTAAAGCCTTTTTTTACATTCGCTGCTGTAAACACTGAATTTTAAGTAGGTCTTCCCAGAGGCAAATCCTGCACCGCGCACAAAGTACTGAGTGTCTCACAGCAGCAACAGTTTGGAAGAAATGGAAGAAAAAAAATGCATGATGTGAGGAGAGTGTGCTGAACAAACAAAAATTCAAACAGCATCAGCAGACAATCTCTGGCAAAACGCATCGAATCAACAATGTTTGACTGGCATCGCCTATAACTGAAATAACAACGTGTTGCTGCGAGGCAGATGCAAACAAGACGTATGTTAGTGGACTCACTGTTGTGTTTGAACACCCGGATAGTCGCCCCTGACAGTCTGGCCCCGAGGATGAGAGACGTGTGATTGAGCTCATCACTCAGAATCAAACAACCCTGAAAATCAGAAGAGAGAAAAAAGTATCAAAGTAAGAACAACCGGTTAGTGAAGACTTTTTTTTTTTGTCGTGCAATAATCTGAGAACATATTTTAAATCGTTTTCTTTTGATTCTTTGAGGATTTTTTAAGACCTCGTCAATGCACGGGCGTCTTAAAGAAGTCGTTCTCAACTGCTGAGTCCGGACCAAAGGTTATAACATTTTTTATTTCACTTTTTGTTCCTTTTTGTCTTTATTAGATCGGACAGCCGAAGAGAGACAGGAAATGTTGGGAAGACAGAGAGCAGCAAAGGGCCGAGGTTGGATCTGAACCCGGGTCGCTGCAACAAGGACTACAGCCTCAGGCGTGGAACCTAACCGCTAGGCTATCCAGCACCCCTCGCTTTGACTTTTTGTCGTCAACGAGAGGATCGTTTTATTTAGTTTAGCTGATGATTTGTTAATTCTGCTGCTCGTCCTCTCACAGACTCCGGCACCTGTAACCACCCCTGCCCCGTCCTCCACAACCTCCACTGGCTCCCCCCTCCCCCAGCGTATCTACTGTACGTCCTCTGAATGTTTACACCGTCACATCGTGCACTAAAAAATGTTTGTGGTTCTTCACTTTTTCACGTCACAGGTTTCAGAATGGAGAGTATCGTGCTTCCATACAAATCAGAACGCAAATTAATTCAGCCATTCCGTGAAGTTCTCTCTGAAACATTAGCATATTTAAAACAGAAGCTCTGAGCATTTGACTGCATTAGTCAGAGTGGACTCGTGTAGAGGGTTTTTTGTTGACACTGCTCAGTGACAGATACTCGGGAGTCTGGCCTGGGGTCCAGCTGGCCCGGTCCCTGGTCTACCAGCAGCTGTCACTATTATGTAGCTCTGCACGCACAGTGAGGACAGTCCCTGCTAAGCCTGTTCCTGCAAAGCCTGTTTCTGCTCACCCTTTACCTCCATAGCCTGTCTCTGCACAGGCTGTCACTGCAAATCCTGTTTCTGCACAGGCTGTTTCTGCACAGGCTGTTTCTGCACGTCTTGAATTGATGTGTAGACGCCGACCAGTATCACCCCTCAGATCCAGAGACAACAGAGGGACTAACAGACAAACAGTTCTGGAAATACATTCAGTCTAAACCCACTTCCTGTATTTGGGTTTCATTTTCACAGCGCAGCAGAAATTAATCTAATTAGCCAAGCTTTTGTTCCTTTCTTGCATATGGCCTAAATTAATGAATTACAGTCAACTAAACTCAGCTGTGAACAAGTCCCCACCGACCCCCATTAATTAAAATCATAATTAAACATAACAGTAGCTGGGAGGACGAGGCTCTGGGCATGAGTGCTCTCAGACACATTGACAAGACGGGGCAGGTTTTTTGTTAAGAGCACCACTCAGGGGGATGATTACCCAAACCCAGGCCTGTCTCACACAGACAGCCACGGGTTACCGGGGGCAACACACAGCATGAATATCTGTGATGTGACTGGACAGGAGGAAGCGGAGGCTGACTGTTTAAGCGATGAGAACGGGGTCGTTTATGCAGACCAAGAGGTGCAGCGGCTTCCCCCTATGGCTGCAGCCCACACAGTGACCCTGCAGGGGTCAAACCGCAGTGCCAACCCTATCCTACAGGGACAGGCTGTGCAGAGACAGGCTGATCAGAGACAGACTGTGCAGAGACAGCCTGATCAGGGACAGACTGTGCAGAGACAGACTGTGCAGAGACAGGCTGATCAGAGACAGACTGTGCAGAGACAGACTGATCAGGGACAGACTGTGCAGAGACAGCCTGATCAGAGACAGGCTGTGCAGAGTCAGCCTGATCAGAGACAGACTGTGCAGAGACAGACTGTGCAGAGACAGACTGTGCAGAGACAGCCTGATCAGAGACAGACTGTGCAGAGACAGACTGTGCAGAGACAGGCTGTGCAGAGACAGCCTGATCAGGGACAGACTGTGCAGAGACAGACTGTGCAGAGACAGGCTGTGCAGAGACAGGCTGATCAGAGACAGACTGTGCAGAGACAGACTGTGCAGAGACAGCCTGATCAGGGACAGACTGTGCAGAGACAGACTGATCAGAGACAGACTGTGCAGAGACAGACTGTGCAGAGACAGACTGTGCAGAGACAGGCTGATCAGAGACAGACTGTGCAGAGACAGACTGTGCAGAGACAGACTGTGCAGAGACAGACTGTGCAGAGACAGGCTGATCAGAGACAGACTGTGCAGAGACAGCCTGATCAGAGACAGACTGTGCAGAGACAGGCTGATCAGAGACAGACTGTGCAGAGACAGACTGTGCAGAGACAGACTGTGCAGAGACAGACTGTGCAGAGACAGACTGTGCAGAGACAGGCTGATCAGAGACAGACTGTGCAGAGACAGACTGTGCAGAGACAGGCTGATCAGAGACAGACTGTGCAGAGACAGGCTGTGCAGAGACAGACTGTGCAGAGACAGCCTGATCAGGGACAGACTGTGCAGAGACAGGCTGATCAGAGACAGACTGTGCAGAGACAGGCTGATCAGAGACAGACTGTGCAGAGACAGACTGTGCAGAGACAGACTGTGCAGAGACAGGCTGATCAGAGACAGACTGTGCAGAGACAGACTGTGCAGAGACAGACTGTGCAGAGACAGGCTGATCAGAGACAGACTGTGCAGAGACAGACTGTGCAGAGACAGGCTGATCAGAGACAGACTGTGCAGAGACAGACTGTGCAGAGACAGGCTGATCAGAGACAGACTGTGCAGAGACAGGCTGTGCAGAGACAGACTGTGCAGAGACAGGCTGATCAGAGACAGACTGTGCAGAGACAGACTGTGCAGAGACAGGCTGATCAGAGACAGACTGTGCAGAGACAGGCTGTGCAGAGACAGACTGTGCAGAGACAGCCTGATCAGGGACAGACTGTGCAGAGACAGGCTGATCAGAGACAGACTGTGCAGAGACAGGCTGATCAGAGACAGACTGTGCAGAGACAGACTGTGCAGAGACAGACTGTGCAGAGACAGGCTGATCAGAGACAGACTGTGCAGAGACAGACTGTGCAGAGACAGGCTGATCAGAGACAGACTGTGCAGAGACAGACTGTGCAGAGACAGGCTGATCAGAGACAGACTGTGCAGAGACAGACTGTGCAGAGACAGGCTGATCAGAGACAGACTGTGCAGAGACAGGCTGTGCAGAGACAGACTGTGCAGAGACAGCCTGATCAGGGACAGACTGTGCAGAGACAGACTGTGCAGAGACAGGCTGATCAGAGACAGACTGTGCAGAGACAGCCTGATCAGAGACAGACTGTGCAGAGACAGCCTGATCAGGGACAGACTGTGCAGAGACAGCCTGATCAGAGACAGACTGTGCAGAGACAGACTGTGCAGAGACAGCCTGATCAGAGACAGACTGTGCAGAGACAGACTGTGCAGAGACAGCCTGATCAGGGACAGACTGTGCAGAGACAGCCTGATCAGAGACAGACTGTGCAGAGACAGACTGTGCAGAGACAGCCTGATCAGGGACAGACTGTGCAGAGACAGACTGTGCAGAGACAGGCTGATCAGAGACAGACTGTGCAGAGACAGACTGTGCAGAGACAGCCTGATCAGGGACAGACTGTGCAGAGACAGCCTGATCAGGCTTCAGTGTATATGACTTCCTGGGCTTTTGCAGCATGCCCCTAGTGGGCACTCGATGAACTGCAGGATTTTGCACTTTTGCATTGGCTTCTGTTTTTAACACTGGAGGTTGACGCTTTGGTTGATACGACTGATTTGACTGACTCAAGTTCGTACTGGTTTGAGATGTTTATCGCAGCAGCAGAACAAAGTTTGTGTTTGATCTGGACCCAAACCTCATCATTCCTCACAGTTTTGGTTTACATGCAAACATTTGGGGAGTTATCACATGTCTTAAACCACCAGTCAGAGCCTGCAGGTAGATGCTTGGTGGTGGCGGTGGTGGGGCTGAAAGCAAAGGTGTTGTACTAATGCAGAACTGGCAACAACAGAGAAGAGGGAGAGACGAGAAATCTTGCAGCATAAAATGTGGAGGATGTGATTGTCAGGTGATTGTGGATGATGTTGCTCAAGGCGTTGCTGCATTTTATTTGGGTCAGTTTCAGAGTGCTATTCTCCTACAGGGCAGCTTGAGGGCTGGGCTTGACGAAATGTGCAAAATCACAACCTTGCCGACGAGTGCAGGAATGTTCATAGAGTTGGTGGGAAACCCATCCCAAAAATCATGGAAGACTCCACGCGAGGAACTCAGCCACAAGTTGCTCCAGCTCTTCGTGGATGCTCAGGTTACCTGCAAGAAATAAATCACAAACAAATAAGTCACCTGACCGGTCGCTGCACCTGCTGGTTTATCTGGTTAGTCATTTAGTCTCTCGGCTTTGTGTTCTTTATCATCAATCACAAGTTTTGACGGAGATGAATGCGACCTGATAATGTGAAAAAGCCAGAAATGCACATCCTCACTCTCTGGGGATTTGAAGAGATTTATAGAGATTCAAAAATGTGCTAAATTTACTGCCTTTTTTTCATCCCAGGTAATATTGGAGTCAACTCCTGCGGGGCTGAGAGTGTTCTGCGGCACATTTTGGGGACTGAGGCGGTTGTTTATTGCCCTCTTGACAGCTGGGGACCAAAAATTCATTAAGAAAATTGATCAGATTGTAATCTGTCACTGATGGTGTGTTTCTATTTTGTGCATAAAAGTGGGCTTTGGGGGATCTCTGGGGTGCTTTAGGACTGCCCCTGTGGTCAGCGATAAGAAGAAGGATTACTGTTATAATTGGAAGCTACAAGGAGAGAGGAAGGCAGTGGAAATTAAATATACGTATTTTATTAAAGCTGGATCTGGGAAATTTCTACATTATAGAAACAGACAGAAATGTATTACTTCAATAAATGCAAGAAGACTACTGATATTAAACTGGATAAAACTTTACACTTTACTCGTCTCAAGGGTAGGCCGGGTTCACTTCCACTGTGGCCCCTTCCGCATGTCATTCCCCGCTCTCTCTCTGGTTTCTGACTCTATCCACTGTCCTCTTCTCTCTCTGGTTTCAGACTCTATCCACTGTTCTCTCTCTCTCTGGTTTCTGACTCGATCCACTGTCCTCTCTTCTCTCTGGTTTCAGACTCTATCCACTGTCTCTCTCTCTCTGGTTTCAGACTCTATCCACTGTCCTCTCTCTCTCTGGTTTCAGACTATCCACTGTCTCTCTCTCTCTGGTTTCTGACTCTATCCACTGTCCTTCTCTCTCTCGTTTCAGACTCTATCCACTGTCCTCTCTCTCTCTCTGGTTTCAGACTCTATCCACTGTCCTCTCTCTCTCTGGTTTCTGCTCTATCCACTGTCCTCTCTCTCTCTGGTTTCAGACTCTATCCTGTCCTCTCTCTGGTTTCTGACTCTATCCACTGTCCTCCTCTCTCTCTCTCTGGTTCTCAGACTCTATCCACTGTCCTCTCTCTCTCTCTCTCTTTGTTTCAGACTCTATCCACTGTCCTCTCTCTCTCTGGTTTCTGACTCTATCCACTGTCCTCTCTCTCTCTCTGGTTTCAGACTCTATCCACTGTCCTCTCTCTCTCTGGTTTCAGACTCTATCCACTGTCCTCTCTCTCTCTGGTTTCTGACTCTATCCACTGTCCTCTCTCTCTCTCTTGGTTTCAGACTCTATCCACTGTCCTCTCTCTCTCTGGTTTCTGACTCTATCACTGTCCTCTCTCTCTCTGGTTTCAGACTCTATCCACTGTCCTCTCTCTCTCTGGTTTCAGACTCTATCCACTGTCCTCTCTCTCTCTGGTTTCAGACTCTATCCACTATCCTCTCTCTCTCTGGTTTCAGACTCTATCCACTGTCCTTCTCTCTCTGGTTTCAGACTCTATCCACTGTCCTCTCTCTCTGGTTTCAGACTCTATCCACTGCCTCTCTCTCTCTGGTTTCAGACTCTATCCACTGTCCTCTTCTCTCTGGTTTCAGACTCTATCCACTATCCTCTCTCTCTCTCTGGTTTCAGACTCTATCCACTGTCCTCTCTCTCTCTGGTTTCAGACTCTATCCACTATCCTCTCTCTCTCTGGTTTCTGACTCTATCCACTGTCCTCTCTCTCTCTCTGGTTTCAGACTCTATCCACTATCCTCTCTCTCTCTCTGGTTTGACTCTATCCATATCCTCTCTCTCTCTGGTTTCAGATCTATCCACTGTCTCTCTCTCTCTGGTTTCTGACTCTATCCACTGTCCTCTCTCTCCCGGTTTCTGACTCTATCCACTGTCCTCTCTCTCTCTGGTTTCAGACTCTATCCACTGTCCTCTCTCTCTGGTTTCTGACTCTATCCACTGTCCTCTCTCTCTCGGTTTCGACTCTATCCACTGTCCTCTCTCTCTCTGGTTTCAGACTCTATCCACTGTCCTCTCTCTCTCTGGTTTCAGACTCTATCCACTGTCTCTCTCTCTCTGGTTTCTGACTCTATCCACTGTCCTCTCTCTCCTGGTTTCTGACTCTATCCACTGTCCTCTCTCTCTCTCTGGTTTCTGACTCTATCCACTGTCCTCTCTCTCTGGTTTCAGACTCTATCCACTGTCCTCTCTCTCTCTGGTTTCAGACTCTATCACTGTCCTCTCTCTCTGGTTTCTGACTCTATCCACTGTCCTCTCTCTCTCTCTGGTTTCTGACTCTATCCACTGTCCTCTTCTCTCTCTCTGTTTAGACTCTATCCACTGTCCTCTCTCTCTCTCTGGTTTCTGACTCTATCCACTGTCCTCTCTCTCTCTCTGGTTTCAGACTCTATCCACTGTCCTCTCTCTCTCTGGTTTCTGACTCTATCCACTGTCCTCTCTCTCTGGTTTCTGACTCTATCCACTGTCCTCTCTCTCTGGTTTCTGACTCTATCCACTGTCCTCTCTCTCTCTGGTTTCGACTCTATCCACTGTCTCTCTCTCTCTGGTTTCAGACTCTATCCACTGTCCTCTCTCTCTCTCTGGTTTCTGACTCTATCCACTGTCCTCTCTCTCTGGTTTCTGACTCTATCCACTGTCCTCTCTCTCTCTCTGGTTTCAGACTCTATCCACTGTCCTCTCTCTCTCTGGTTTCTGACTCTATCCACTGTCCTCTCTCTCTCTGGTTTCAGACTCTATCCACTGTCCTCTCTCTCTCTCTGGTTTCAGACTCTATCCACTGTCCTCTCTCTCTCTGGTTTCTGACTCTATCCACTGTCCTCTCTCTCTCTGGTTTCAGACTCTATCCACTGTCCTCTCTCTCTCTGGTTTCTGACTCTATCCACTGTCCTCTCTCTCTCTCTGGTTTCAGACTCTATCCACTGTCCTCTCTCTCTCTGGTTTCTGACTCTATCCACTGTCCTCTCTCTCTCTCTGGTTTCAGACTCTATCCACTGTCCTCTCTCTCTCTGGTTTCTGACTCTATCCACTGTCCTCTCTCTCTCTGGTTTCTGACTCTATCCACTGTCCTCTCTCTCTCTCTGGTTTCGACTCTATCCACTGTCCTCTCTCTCTCTGGTTTCAGACTCTATCCACTGTCCTCTCTCTCTCTGGTTTCTGACTCTATCCACTGTCCTCTCTCTCTCTCTGGTTTCAGACTCTATCCACTGTCCTCTCTCTCTGGTTTCTGACTCTATCCACTGTCCTCTCTCTCTCTGGTTTCTGACTCTATCCACTGTCCTCTCTCTCTCTGGTTTCTGACTCTATCCACTGTCCTCTCTCTCTCTGGTTTCTGACTCTATCCACTGTCCTCTCTCTCTCTGGTTTCTGACTCTATCCACTGTCCTCTCTCTCTCTCTGGTTTCTGACTCTATCCACTGTCCTCTCTCTCTCTCTGGTTTCTGACTCTATCCACTGTCCTCTCTCTCTCTCTGGTTTCAGACTCTATCCACTGTCCTCTCTCTCTCTGGTTTCAGACTCTATCCACTGTCCTCTCTCTCTCTGGTTTCTGACTCTATCCACTGTCCTCTCTCTCTCTCTGGTTTCTGACTCTATCCACTGTCCTCTCTCTCTCTGGTTTCAGACTCTATCCACTGTCCTCTCTCTCTCTGGTTTCTGACTCTATCCACTGTCCTCTCTCTCTCTGGTTTCTGACTCTATCCACTGTCCTCTCTCTCTCTCTGGTTTCAGACTCTATCCACTGTCCTCTCTCTCTCTGGTTTCAGACTCTATCCACTGTCCTCTCTCTCTCTGGTTTCTGACTCTATCCACTGTCCTCTCTCTCTGGTTTCTGACTCTATCCACTGTCCTCTCTCTCTCTCTGGTTTCAGACTCTATCCACTGTCCTCTCTCTCTCTGGTTTCTGACTCTATCCACTGTCCTCTCTCTCTCTGGTTTCAGACTCTATCCACTGTCCTCTCTCTCTCTGGTTTCAGACTCTATCCACTGTCCTCTCTCTCTCTCTGGTTTCTGACTCTATCCACTGTCCTCTCTCTCTCTGGTTTCAGACTCTATCCACTGTCCTCTCTCTCTCTGGTTTCAGACTCTATCCACTGTCCTCTCTCTCTCTCTGGTTTCAGACTCTATCCACTGTCCTCTCTCTCTCTCTGGTTTCAGACTCTATCCACTGTCCTCTCTCTCTCTGGTTTCAGACTCTATCCACTGTCCTCTCTCTCTCTGGTTTCAGACTCTATCCACTGTCCTCTCTCTCTCTGGTTTCTGACTCTATCCACTGTCCTCTCTCTCTCTCTGGTTTCAGACTCTATCCACTGTCCTCTCTCTCTCTCTGGTTTCAGACTCTATCCACTGTCCTCTCTCTCTCTGGTTTCAGACTCTATCCACTGTCCTCTCTCTCTCTGGTTTCAGACTCTATCCACTGTCCTCTCTCTCTCTGGTTTCTGACTCTATCCACTGTCCTCTCTCTCTGGTTTCAGACTCTATCCACTGTCCTCTCTCTCTGGTTTCTGACTCTATCCACTGTCCTCTCTCTCTCTGGTTTCAGACTCTATCCACTGTCCTCTCTCTCTCTGGTTTCTCTCTCTCCACTGTCCTCTCTCTCTCTGGTTTCTGACTCTATCCACTGTCCTCTCTCTCTCTCTGGTTTCAGACTCTATCCACTGTCCTCTCTCTCTCTCTGGTTTCAGACTCTATCCACTGTCCTCTCTCTCTCTGGTTTCTGACTCTATCCACTGTCCTCTCTCTCTGGTTTCTGACTCTATCCACTGTCCTCTCTCTCTCTGGTTTCTGACTCTATCCACTGTCCTCTCTCTCTCTGGTTTCTGACTCTATCCACTGTCCTCTCTCTCTCTGGTTTCAGACTCTATCCACTGTCCTCTCTCTCTCTGGTTTCAGACTCTATCCACTG